ATTTTTATTTATTTATTTATTTTTTTTTGATTACAGTTTAGAAATACTTTTTTTTAAAGCTTGTTCATGTAGATGCTTTATCATTTGAATATTATGTACTAATAAATTTGAGCATACCTTACTTAAAAATGATCTTGCATGATTCAATTTTTTCAACTAATGTGATGTGGCCGAGCAAAAAGAAATTTTTTTATGTTTTAAAAAATGTACTAATTATATTTCGCGAGCAAAAAAGGTAAGTTTTATTAATGAAATAAACATTGAAAATATTTAATGTGTTTTATTACTTACTGAATGGGGTAGACAAGACATACAAGCTTAAGGAATCTTTTTTCCACTACTAAAATTATGTGAAAATTTAGATGATCATAGTAGCTTACATTGTTTTTTTTCTTTTTTGGTCTATTTTTCTTTACAAGTATGAGACTAGAACCACATTTTTACATTAAATATTTTGTGCTATTTTGTTAAAACACACATAATCATTTTTATGCATACTTTAATTTTCATTATTATTAGTTTGATGAAGAAAATTTCAAATGTGTTTTTCATAAATTGCTTTTGAAATAGAAATAGATTTGTGAATAAGATTTATGTAATATTAAATGTACTAGTCTTGGGAGTATAAAAAATGAATTATTTATTTGAAAAAAATTACATTAAGTTGAAACCTCATATAGTGGTTATTTTCTTAAATGACCACCTCTGATAATGGCACATTTGTCAGGACAATAATTAAATAACAGAACTTAAAAAATCATTCATAGTTTTGTCAGGCTACAGGAAACTGGCATTATCTCGAATTGTGGAGTTGATTGTTTTAGGAACATTTTGCTGTATAATCAATTGACTTCGGTGTAGTAATTTTTACGTGGGTATGAATTTTGCAGAAGTAATTGAACGTTTTTACGAGACATTTAAAACCAAAGCTTTTCGGATCATGAGTCTTATAAGGGCGCTGTTATAGCATTGCTTTGAAATATAGTTAGAGTAATATTTAAACATTTTTTTCGAGTAATTTTTTTCGAGTTAGAGTAATATTTAAACATTTCCACAGGAAATCCGTTTGTTCTCTGCGTATGAAAAACCCATATAAATAAATCTTCTGTACAGCCTTATACAAATGCAGTTAAAATTACTGTCATTACAATTAAGCGAATATAGCTACATTTGTTTACAAAAAGTTATTGCTAAATACTGCACTATATCAATTTCATTTGGCATTGTAATTTCAGAAAATGCTCAGCATGAGGTATTTTTAAATTATATAATCTACTGTCAAAAACAATAGCTACCTTTTCAGTACTTTAAATTTTACTATTGAGAATTTTTTATGGTTCAAAAAATAATATTTCTATACATTATTTCAAGTATTCTTTCTACAATAGAAATCTAAATAACTTGCACCTAAAACACTGACTCAATTTATTCCAATAATGCATCGCTTTAATTAAATTTATGTTCCTTTGAGATGATATATAAAAAACCTTGTGTAATAATAAATTATTAATATATATAGGTAAATGGTATTTTTATATATATTTTTTCGGGTAAAGTGCAGAATCGCCCACTTATTTATTTGGCACTTTGTACAAAAGTAAAAGGAATTGGATTTTTGTCAATTTTCTTTTGACTTTTTAAGTGAAAATAGGTCGATGTGTACATGAATAAAGTCAAAGGAGTGCACAATGGCATTTTTGTGCAATTCTGGGATGTTTTTTTTTAAGTGAAAATATGTCGATGTGTACATGGATACCGAGTATGTGCAATTCTTCTTAAAAACACTCCAAGCAGTGGGCGATTCTACACTTTCCCCATTTTTCTATAGGAATTTAGTTTCATTAAATTAGTTATTTAGTATAATTATGTGTATATGAGTATATTCACACTTATTCGCATAGATGGAATTTTTTACAGTACGAAAGTTAATCTTTTTTACATCAAGAACTAATATATACTATAAATACCCATTATGTTATAGATTTTATTTATATAAAATTTGTGGAAGATTATATAGCACTAAAAGTGAGATACGGAATAAAACATTATACGTTATGAGATATTTTCTTAATTCCCGAACTGTGCGTTAAGAATTGGTATTTGTTGAAACTTGTAAATTTTTTAAAATTCATTTTGTTACAATATAATTTATTGTATTTTGGGTACTATTAAGTTTATTATATGTTATCTTCATGTTTTCATTTATTTTTTGAGAGATACAGGTAACATTCAAAGTATTGTAATAAGGGGTCGACACAGTGTTTGTATATTATTAGTTCTTCACTACATTATATTCTTGGATTCATCCTTTCTTCCACGCAAAACATCTATGTGTATGCATGTCATAATAAGCTGCAGGGTGTTACTATCATTGGTAAGCGAGCTTTAAGGGGATAGCAAGTATGCTAAATTTGAACTCTATGTTAAGTTTCTAATTTGCAAGTCCCGTATTTTTTTTTTTGCTTGCTTGTTAATAATGTTTTCTCTTCCTGAAAATTTGGGTTTCTTCTAGTTTTGTTTTTTTTAATTTGGTTTAGGTGCATTGTAGGTAACTTAAAATTTAAGCAGATGCTAGAAAGTACCATCCTTTGGCAATACATTTCTCATTAGGTATCAAATTGTTAAACAAGCTGATGTGATTAAATACAATTGTTTTAATTTCCCAATTAAAGAACTGAAATACAAATATATGCAGTGAGGTACAGTACTATATGTATATATTTATAATGAAATGAATAATATATATACAGTCAAAGTAATGATTCGCAACCATCAAATGAAATGATTATATATATATATGTAATGGATTCTGTAGTCGAATACAAGCAGCTGAATCCATAATGAACAGCAAGAATTTTGATGGCTTAGAGATGTTGAAACTCTAATCCACAATGAATAAGAAATTTGGCAGTTGAGGTAGATTTAATTCAACTTTTTTTTCAGCAAATATGTTGCAGCCACAAACAAGTTGGCACATTATTTATGCCTATTCCAAAAATTAACATTTTTGATAAATGTGTAGTAAGAAACAATGACTGCAATCCAGCAAATACAAAGCGTAAAAAGCAAATGCGTTATGTTAAGGGTGAAATCTTAATTAAGACCGAGTTAATTTTGGTTTTCGATGCAGTTTTACTCGTATTTGATAGTTAATACTGCTCTAAAATTACAATTGGCTGTTTGAGTTTTAGTTTCTTTTACAACATCAAATTATGTAAGAGTCATATGACATGAATTAATCTCGAAATGATGCAGTGCAGAAAGAAACTGTTTTTAGAATAGAGAAGGAAAATTAATTTTACGCTGCTAATTTAATCTTTTGCATATTCCTTATTTTTCTTACATATATACATGTACATATATCATTCGATGGTTGTGAATCATGACTTTGGTTATTATCTTTCTATTCATTTTATTTTCAGAATATATAAAGGTAGTTTTAAAAATTTTGTAATATGTTTATAGATATTGACGTGCATTAAGGACAGGCTCGTAGGCTTCTAGATATTTTAAAATTTTTATTTATTCGCATTGAGTTTTATTTATTTAAATTACTTTACATGCTTTCTCCGCAATTTAGTTCTGTTCAATGCTAATTATGTACTTCTGCTGGTTTATGTTTTTATGGAAATTTGATTTACAGTTCTATTTTGGTGTATTGTTTTTTTTTATAGGGATTCTGTATATGGATACTCCACTATAGATATAATGCTATTGGTTCTGTTTATTTATGGGTTTTTGTGTACTGTTTTGTGCAGCGATTTTTTCCAAGAGGTACCTTTATTGGTCTGTGGATTTTTGTGTAGTGGTTTTTACAGGATTTGGCATATGGGTGCCTGTATAGGTGTACATGCTTTTGTTTACTGGTTTTTACAAGGCACAGACCTACGGAATATCCATTTTTTTTTTTTTTTTTTTATGGAAATTTGGCCAATGGATATGCATATAGAGTTTTGATTTTTGGCTATGGGTTTTTACTGGGATTTTGTTTATAGTGCCTACAGTTCTACAGGTTTCTACAGAGATTTGGCCTACTCGTATCCGTACAGTCGTACGGGTTTCTGTTTACAGGTTTTTTTACGGGTATTTGGCCTACAGGTACCTATACAGCCGTGCAGGTTTCTTTCTATGGGTTTTTACGGGAATTTGGCCTACGGGTACCCGTACAAATGTACGGGTTTCTTTTTATGGGTTTTTACGGGTATTTGGCCTACGGGTACCCGTACCATTGTACGGGTTTCTTTCTATGGGTTTTTACGGGGATTTGGCCTACGGGTACCCGTACAACCGTACGGGTTTCTTTCTATGGGTTTTTATGGGAATTTGGCCTATGGGTACCCGTACAGTTGTACGGTTTTTGTCTATGGGTTTTTACGGGGATTTGGCCTACGGGTACCCGCAGAGCTGTACGGGTACCCGTAGGCCAATTCCCCATAAAAAATTTTATGGGTTTCTACGGGGCATTTTTAGCAGGGTTAATATCTGGGCTATGCGGGGGCCACTGTCTCTCACCTTCGTAAAGACGGATGGGATGTTACAGTTACATTAAACAGATCGTATAGGAAATAAAGACCAGTATTTGCAGTGTGGGGAAAGATTTCGTTCTGCATGAACTACTGAGTGTATAAATGGAGACCTGTTGCCATTTTCAGGTGTGCCATTATTTGAGAAATACCGTCGATTTATCTCCAACAGAAAAGTTTTGTATTTAAATCTTTAAGATTAGTTCTACAGCTATATGAATATTAAACTGATTCTTGTTGCTCCAAATATGTAAATATTATGAATATTATGCTGATTTTTGTTACTTCTGTCTCCAAATATAATCGCTATTTCCCGCGTTACATTAACTCAAATTCTAAAACCTATCACAATTTAAGAAAGACTCCTAACCGTTTTGTAATATATGATTAAACCGTCTGAAACTATTTTTAAGTGAGAAAAATCATTAAATATTCAATTTATTGCTACTTTTTAACATTTTAGGTTAACGAACAAAGAAATTCTCAAAAACGTGTTAGAGATATAGAAATTTATTTGAAATGTTTATGGAGTACTCAAGCCAGTTGTAAGTTTGTCTTTGATTATCATATTATTGCATTTATTTTCTCTGACATGTTGTTATTTTCTTCTACAATATGCTTTACGTGAAGTTCTTCATTCTGTATTCATCTTTTAAGATCGGTAGAAGTTCCCATTTTCGAATTTTCTGGAATATCCATTGTTCGTTTGAGATGTGTGTGGACATTCTAAAAAAAGAAAACAATATAAATATTCCCGTTTAACGGATAATAGAATCATATATACTTCATTTAACATTTTTTCACCTGGATAGTAAAACATTGCTTCAGGTTTTATACGTTTTGCCTGAACTTGTATGTTTCTGGTCAAATAGGCAAATGAATTGAAACAGTTCTTTACATCGCTTGATGTAAATTTTATATTTTGAATAAAGGAAATTACAAGTAGATGGACCCACTAAATTTAATCAGCGAAGATGAAAATGTTCAAACATGGCGTTTAAGTTATTAATAAGATATGATTTAAAAAAGAGCTTTATTCTGCTGCTACAAGCAGATGAATCAGTGAAGTTGGAGATGACGGCATAGTGGAACATTTCGCGATAATAAAATGTTTCCAGAATTTCTAAGCTTAATATAACAATGTTGAAAAGAAATCGAGCTCATAACATCTTTTGATCATCAATAATGAGTCCGTGCACAAGGCGTTTCTCTGCTAAACCTCTTTTATTGGGCACGTGTCTGGCCTTGATGAATAGAGGCTGTACGTTGCCAACTTCGGGGCCTTCAGGACATCTTTCTCACCTTCAAGTTTCAAATCCAATGGCTTAAAATTGTGAAATCCGTGAACTGACTGTGGTATAGTTTAGAATTGAGCCAACTTTTGTAAATAACTGTAAAATGATGGTAAATAGAATGCCTTTATGATGAATATCATTAACGACAGCAAAAAGTGGATTTTTCAGCTATAGCATAGTACCACTAATCACTGGCTTCAACCAGTGTGGGTCTGGGACGTATAAATATATATTTTCATATCGCAAAAGGCATGAAACTTTGACTCATGTGGCACAGTAACATGAAATTTTTTATCTATTTTTTACTAGTTTCATTGTTAAACATTATAGGAATCCATATAATAAATGTATATATACAACTGAATATTCAAATACTTTCCTATCTATCTATCACATACACTTTGAAATATCAAAAATATTTTAATTTTAATTTTCAGTTAGCTAATCGTCTTGTTTAAAAAACTTACAATACAACAAAAGACAAGCGTTTGTTATTTTAACTGACAGCATAACAAAGTTCCTATTTCTAGTCAATAATCCTTGGTTTTATTGATATTTCAGTCGCGTTATATTCATCAAGGCATCAATTTTAAAATTAAAAAATAAAATTATTATGATAACAATTCAGTATTAACGATATTTGTGTTTATATGCACCACATATGTGAAACATTTCTATGAATATCACAGTACTCTTCTGCTATCGGATGCACGTATGTGTGGGTGGATGTGCGTATATATGTGTCTATACATATATATTCCATACGTACGTACATGTATACATGCATACATGAACATTATTCATCCATCCATACATGCATACATACATACATTTCTTAATTCAGTACCGATAACAGACGGGTACCGTCATTAAATCAAAGCCAGTGTCAAATGAATAAACAAACAAACAAATACAATTGTTTCAAAATTCCTGTAAAACTTTATCAAAAACAAGACTATTGAAAAAATGAATTTCTAGAATTCTGTGGAGAAAAAGATAATTATTTTGTTGAAATAAACGCCAAGTTGACGCAAACTGCGAACGACAAAAAGATAGCTAATAAATGAAAAGGGCAAAGATTTTTTGATTAATTCTTTTACAGTAAGACTTGCTGCTTTTTCGCTATAGATACCCTTTCATTGCGTTGGATTCAAAATCCAGATAAGGCGTGGACCTTTTCGTACGTATAGGGTCTTTGCAAAATGACGGAACTCAAAATTATTTGATCTGAAAGTTCACCCAGAGTTTCACAGTTGAAGAAGAAGGTATAAAACTTGCCCAATCCATTAAATGGAAACTATCTTGCATATATTGGCTACTATACCCGCACATTAGAATTAACCGTCATACATAAACACATGCCACATTACTATACCCGCACGTTTGAATTAACCACCAGTTAAGAACATCAACACATGTCATGAATGAATGTATTGTGGAGTCGGAAAATCATGAATACATTAGTTCAAACAAAGAAAGCTTAACTAAGACATTTTTTCTTTCCATTAAAATGAGATTATCATGTCATCATTTTTTACAAGTTATAAAATGACTCAATTCCTTATTGGCCGTAAAAATTGATCTGAGCAAATTTAATTTGGGTCCAGAAACGTTTTATGATTGCAGCGTCGGTGGCGAGGAAAATGTTGAACATGTGCTTCTTTTGTGTTCCAAATTTGACAGTGAAAGAAAGATCTTAAAACTGGCACTTATTAAATATTAGCTGGCCTCCTGATTTTCATCAGTTTATTTTCGAGAGAAAAGTGCCTACACGAAAATAATCAAAGACAAAATGCAAAACAAATACAAATAGAAAAATAGTGTAAAACTAGCTTTGTAAATTCTGTAATTTTTGTATGGTTTACAAAAATAGAGAAAGACTATTTTTTTAATTCTTTGCAAATTATTGTAATCCTTCATAAGTTTTTCTTTAATTTTTCCTTTACTATTTATTTGTCTGTTTTGGGTATCATACTTACTTCTATAAGCCCCTTGTGATAACTTGTGGTACACTGGGAGTTGTTTGTGCTTTTAATGGAAAAAAATTAATGCAGTAAAATTTTTAGTATGGCTCCTACTTTCCTTTTCAAGATCACGAATATTACATTTACAGTCTTGCAAAACAGATAATTAATTTAACAGGAAATAAACTAAGATATAATTTTACCTATTGCCAGTTTCATGTAGTTGATGTTCGTCGGCGATTCACATAAAGGAGCTATCCGAAGAGGGTGGTCAAAAGGTCTTTCAATTATCACTGGTGATGGTTTGCAGAAACACCTTATAAAGAATTAAAAAATGTTCAAATATTATATTCTCTTATGTTAACTATCATCTAGTTTGTACATTGTAATTATACATACAATATTATATATTATGACATTTTTATTCAATTGACTGAGTTACACGAATTTCTTGACAGCTAAATTTAATTCTGAGTATTTAATATTTCCGGTACTATTCTGTTTTCAGGGCCGTAAAAAAAAATTGCAGTGGAAATGTATGCACAAAAGCGCCAAATCTTGCAAACGCGCCCATTTAACAGCGCGCCAAATCTAGCGTACGCGCTGATTTCAGATTCCGTAAGTTTATATAGTTCTATATTTCTTAAGACGCCATTGAAATATTAGTTTAATTTTTAAATACTTTTTTGATTTTAAATCCTTTTTGATATACTATGGATTTAACAGTTGTCCATGACGAAAAGTCGGCAATAGAAATTTGGGTAAAGTGCAGAATCATCCACTGCTTGACGCGTTTTAAAGAACTGCACATACTCGGTATCCATGTGCACGTCAACCTATTTTCACTTAAAAAAGAAATCCTAGAATTGCACAAAAATGGCACTGCGCACACCCTTGAAATTATCATCGACCTATTTTCACTTAAAAAGTAAAAGAAAATTGACAAAAATCCAATTGTTTTTACCCTTGTAAAAAGCGGCGAACAAATAAATGAGCGATTCTGCACTTTACCGAGAATATTTTCTAAGAAAAGGCATCATTCATTATAGAAAATTACGTTTGAACAACCAACGAGATGAGTGAGTGAGTGAGGTTTATGGCGCAAAACCAAAGATGGTTATGACGCGCCAAACACAGGATGGGATGATTACAAATGACGAAATTAAAATACAATAAATAAAAACAAGTGGTAACCAACGAGATGAAATTATGGTTTAGCGATAAGTTGGTAGGGAAATAGCGATGCAGGCATCCATTCAGTTATGTTTAGCAATTTTTATATAAATTATAATAATGATCTGAAATAGTTATTTACTCTTATGCTTCCATTCAGTCATGTTTAGCCTTTTTCATATAAATGATAATAATAAAAAAGTATTATATGAAATTAACCTTTCATCTAAATTAAAGCATCAATCTTAGATAGTTATTTACTATTACACTACCTTTCTTGCCGCAATTATTTTTGACAGCACTAGCATCAACAATAGTTGGCGATTTTTTACGGCCCTCGAAACCGAATAGTACCATATTTCCTTATGGAGTAGCTTTACATTTTTAGGATATTATTATGCGTTCTTCGCCTGAAATTTCTTGAATTACCTTATAAGGTTTTAGTTTCATTATTTAGTGCTTCAAAGTCCATTATGTAAGACACATAATTTCAAATTATAACGGCTTGACGTTTAAATTACAATTTAAAAGGCAGTAAATGCACTTTGCAATAACTTTAATATTTTTATAATCTATTTAATTGATGTGCGTTTAATTTAAAACAAATTTGATTTGCATATATCCTGTTAAGAATTATGAACATTTGCAGCATTTCTGTAATTAATAAAAGGCATTTTCAGTCATAGGATACTAAAGATTATACCGTAGATACTGAAGATCCATATATTATGTACCTCGGTGCATTAGCCCTCCGTCACCTCAAATTTTACGTTTTTGTGCACTCACCGTTTCTGTGAGGTCAGTGCTTGTCGCACTGCATCCATTTTGGTGATTGGAAAATCCGCAAACTGATTGCAGGTCGAGCCCAGCCATAAGTCGAGAGAATCTCTGAAAGGTCGACGTTCGGGGTTGCAACGCTTGAGGGCCGAAACAGTTGGAGTAGAGTATAAGCGTGACCACGCATCCTGTGATCCATGGGTGATTTTAGGTCGAGGTATCTACAAGAAGTTCCAAGTTCATTAACTTTTACTTTGTTGTAAAATAAGTTGCAAATGTGAAATATAAATTTCGTTCTAAAAGCAGCACTGAATCAAAGAATCACAAGGAATCTTTATTTTCATTATAATGGAATTAACTCTGCTTGGGACTGCGCTGGATTTCTTGTGTACCTAGCAACGTTTAGAATACACATGGCGCGTCTTTATGACCGAAGAAGTTTCGAAGTTCTGACTTTGATTTAAAATTAATTTCATTGATTGTGACCAGTGTAAGTTAAAAAGATAAAAAAAGGCATCGATCGTGAAGCGAATCGAGCTTTGATCGTGAAGATCTTTACTGACGAACTATAATCACTTGTTAAATGGGTAATTTGTGAGAGAAATGGAATCATTTGTTCACATGACTTCAAAACTGGACAAATATCAAAGCAAAGGACGCAAAATCAAACTGCAATATATTAAGGCGTGTGAAGATTAACAGCCTCTTTGAGTTGAGCAAACCTTTTTGTGGTGTACAAATGTCATTTAATATAGTACATCATGTTCACAAAAGTCCTTACACGGCTTTTATTTTCATAACCGTTGGTCGTACACATGTACTTCCAGATTAAAAAATGTTTCAAATGAGGCAAAGATTCATTTTGCCGGTTTTAATATTAAAGAAATAGGTTTTGTAAAAATTATGAAATCTGACTTTTTATACATCATCCCTGTCCCTTATAATTAGGAAGATTTGTATTCGTTACAAAAATAAAATTCATAAGGTTTTTGAGTTTACTAATGATCAAAGGTCTATAACTTCTAGTAAAATGTCGACCTTTGAGCAAGCAATGAACTAAATCCTGGAAATCAAAATATCATGTACTCATGAACACTTTCATAACCCTCACTGGTTAAAAAAAAATGATGATTGATTTCTTGCTCCTGCGGTAAGTGCATTGCGTAATAAACTTTTCAGGAATGACCCTATGCGACCCACTAATGAAGCAGTTATTGTATATAAAACAGAGGTTTGCGATTTGGAAAGCAAATACAAAGTGAATAGCAATCGTTGAAATACATTATAAAACTATTTTAGATAAAAACGTAAACTAATTACATTACTTTTTCTAAGAATTAAATCAAAACACCATACACTTTACCGCTTTCAAGTATATGGGCCGAAAGTCTGCATCCGTTTCTTTGCTCATATAAGAACATGTCCACTTCTCAGGCATCTGTTTGGGACTCATACTGTTGTATATGTTGGAAATATTATTTCGGAAGTCTCAAATCCAGTCTATTAGGCTGAGAAGACCAGAGCTTCAAATAACCAAATTGTCTCTATTGATCTCCATTTAATTTTTTGATGCAGGAATTGTTTTGAAATGAAAAGCTCGCGAAATTTATCGCGTGAGTAATTTTCGTTTAGGAACAGTAATATTATTTATTAAAGCGTAACAAGCTGTAACGTATTTAACGGCGATAACACTTTATAAATTTTAATTAAATAATTGTTAGTTAATTAATGGTTAGTTATCAAAGTTGTTTAGTAATATTTTACAGTTTTTTTAACTGGCCCATACTTATGTTACTACTTAGAAATTTCATTGATTTTTAATTTTCTGATTTTGCTTAGTAGAAATATAAATTTATTTTAAGTTTTTAACTTAATGAGAGAAATTGAAAATAAATTTATAATGTTGTTTATGCCACTTTTAAAACACTCATTTACACAGAGAATTAGTTATAAATACATTTTGGTAGGGATGCTAAAAAATTGTGTAATAATTATTTTCGTAAATATTTTGTCAGGTAATGATGCTGTTGTGTCTACTGATGTCCTTAGACAAAGTATGTTGTTTAAGGCTTCCCTTTTTACATGAAGTAAAAGAAGTATTGTAATTTCGAAAAATTTTGGCTATCATATTTCAACGAAAATATCTATTTTGACCGCTATCGAATGCAACAGAATAAAGGACTCGTATCGTAAAATGGATTCAGAAAAGATTTTTTTTCCGTGACGTCTGTACATACGTACATACGTATGTATCTCGCATAACTCAAAAACGAGTAGCTTCAGAACGTTGAAATTTTGTATATAAGACTACAATTACATATAGTTGTGCACCTCCAATTTGATTATAATCAGCCGCACCAAATATATATAAATATATACACTTTTTGGTGCAGTAACAGAGTGGGTAAATATATATATATATACGAGATGTGACACACACAAAAAAAAAACAAGACTAAATGTATAGCACTTGAAAACAGAGTGGAGTTGGCAACAAATGTTTTGGTGACGTCATCCCAAACACCTCCTCTATCCATGCGGCCAGTTTCGACTTAACCGACCCCTCCAATGGGGAGTATTGCTTCATTGAGTGAACACGTGCAACTGCACTCTGCCGGAAAAATGTCTAATGTAAAAACCGAACAGCGAATCGATATCAAGTTTCTTGTGAAATTTAAGATATCATTCACGGAGGAAACATTTCAAATGTTGACCGAGGCTTATGGAGATGAAACTTTGTCTCATGCACGTGTGCTTGAATGACATAAGCGGTTTTCAGGGAAAAGGGACAGTGTGGAAGATGATAAACGTGCTGTGCGCCCCTTGGACGTTCATCACGATTGAATGGGTTCCCAGTGGTCAGACTGTTAATCAGTACTACTCCATTGAAGTACTAAAAAAATTCGTGGAAAAATTAGGAAAAAAAGGGCCACAGTTGTAAAGTGTGGCTGTTGCACCAGGACAATGCACCCGCTCACACGGCCCTATCTGTCAAGCCGTTTCTGCTTGACAAATAGGGCCGTGTGAGCAGTTTCTGCTTGACAGATAGGGCCGGCAAAAGCATTATTGTGATGGGACACAGCGAAAACACCAGCAAAAACATTATTGTGATGGTGCATCCTCCTTATTCATTTGATTTGGATGCATGCGAATTTTTTATTTCCTAAAGTTAAATTTTACTTAAAGAGAACCCGTTTTACCTCAGCTGAAGAGGTTCAGGCAAAAACGGAGAATCTCCTGAAGGGCCTTCAGAACTGTTACCAGCAATGGCAACACCTATTGTAGAAATGTGTGAATGCTGAAGGGAACTATTTTGAAGGTGATAATGTCACGGAGAATTGATTTTGTAAGTACAATGAGTTATTTTACCAGTCTGGTTTTATTTGTGTCACATCTTATATATATACCCATTTTGTTACTGGCCTTGTTGAGTTCAGTTTTTTTTTATTCTTATATGCTGATAAATTGTGCATTTTTTGCTTTAAAGTGATTGCATCATGTTGTTCTTGTCTTTCGGTTAAAATTTATGTGCCTTTAGTTAGCTGCATGCAATAGTTGTAGAATTATCCACAGTTTGAAAGCTGTTTAAGTGAGGCTAAGTTAATTTTTTTACCATGGCAGCCATATTTGTTTACATTTGAAACTTAGCAGAATAGTGAATTAAGTCAGTGTCTTTTTGCCGAGTGGCACTAAAAGTGGATTTTTAGTTTTATGCACCAACAAATCCGCCTTCTTCCTTCGCTGTACGAATTGCGTCGTTTTTCGTAGAAACTCTAATTTTAACTGTAAAATTTGTTTTTTTTTTTAAATTTTTAACTGTATTTGGTGTTTTATGTTTTTTCATATTTTTCAATTTTTAATGAAGATATTTTGAGTTTTTATATATTTTTGCCTTGCTGAGAAATGAGAATATTAATTGATTGAGAAATATATCTCCAATTAAATTCAAGGAAATAAGTTTAAATGAAATATAGCAAAAATGTGCTTAATTTAATAGGCCATACAAGGAAGTCATGTGGTGTCCACATAATATTTTTTATAGAATGAAAACTTTAGAGAAGAGCTTCGATCTGCTCGAATTTCAAATGCGATGTTCACATCTGAAGGGTGTGCGCAGGTGTTGTTCAAATGAGAGGTGGATCATCCTATGCTGCTAGTAACTGGGAAGCTATGGAATGTTTTGCTTTCTTTATTTTTACGATAATTTTAAATAGAAATTTGAGACACATATGTGTCTGCTATTTGCAGACTTTGATTTGACTCACTTCTGCTAACTGTAAAAGTAAATTAAAAAACAATGAAAGTAATGCACAATCCACTCTAGCTGAGTAATGATAAACATTTAGATAAGTGAAATTTTGTAGGTAGAAGCATTTGTCTTTACCTCTAATTTATATTTAACTTTTATTTCTTGTTGTTGCAATTAAGACATTAAGTACTATCAACGTGAGACCCTAGTACACCAATGTGCAGGGATCGAATTCATCTACAAATCCGGGGATACTCAGCAGCAGCGATTCACAGTAAGCTGCTAGCAGTATATGTGGAGAACGCAATGAATCGAGGTATGTGTATTGATAGCTTCAGAGATTTTAGAGTGGGGAATTGCAACACCCAGGACCAGTTATCGTCAACCGCGACAACCAGCGAGGTACTCAAAATTAGTATAGTAATGGTATTCCAGACCCTAACTAGACCGAAAAGCGAGTCTGTAGCAATGACAAAGTCGTAAGAAGATTAGAATAACGTTTTTATTGAACTCTTTAAATGGACAGACGGCAGCACTTGTGCTACAGAATATTGCAGGTATTTAAAATAACATAAGAATGAAAGTTTAAATTTCAAGTAACGTAGTCTGAGACTATACAGAAACTGGTCTACTTAAGCAGGCTGAAGAAATTAACGACCCGTATTTTATCACAGCCACCAAGACAACTATTGGTGGAGCTCCCCGTAAGTAATTGCAGTGCGAAGCTGCCAGAAGCTCTCACCTAAAACATCTGAACTCTCAACTTAAATACACAATAACTAATTTGCTTTCTGTTGAGGACTACGAAATGAAGAAGTTAAACTACATTTTCAAATCATAATAACTGGTTATTTGATCTAAAGTCCTACAATTCTGTACCTACAATACCGATTTGATGACTTAAAAGTGTACAAAATTCAACTAGATTACTTTATAAATAACTTTTAAATCTGTAAAGATATGTTATACATGTACGAACTACGTGATATCAGTAAATGGTCAGTTTTCTGATGTCACCATTTAGTGAAATTTAGATGCTTGTCCTTATGATGGTATGCCTGTAATAAACTAACGATAACAGAAAATGTTTTGCCTCAAACTGCCATTGTATTTGATTTCATTATTTTCTAATATTCATTGTCATCGTCCTACAGGGGTTGTGCAAGAGTTAGTCAGCTACTGTGTAAAGAAAAATGGTGGTTGTGAACAAAAGTGTCTAGAAGGTTCCAATGGTCGGATTTGTTCTTGCTACAGAGGTTATAAATTAAACTCTGATAATAAAACTTGTTCAGGTAAGATATTTGTTTCTATCGACGTAGAAAAGTACTAATTGTTTGCTTTGGAACCTTGACAGTATTCATGTGGGCATTAAAATTGCAGCTATGATGATTTAATGCAAATTGTAGTAGTTATTTATTTTGTTTTTTCACGGCTTCCATTATATGGATTGCAATCAAATTTGAAACTTTCGTTTGGATGATTTTTAATTTCTTGCATATTTAGCAAGAATTCTAATGGAAATTTCTATGATTAGTTATATTTTCATCAGAAAAATAAAGTACTTTTTTAAATGATCTGAAATACCGAATAACTATGATTATTATGCAAGTATTTTCTTTTTCCTTCGCAGCCTTTGTAGTGTACCTGCACAATCGACGTGTACCTACACGCTCGTAGTGTACCTGCACGCTCCTGCATTGCGGAATTCTTCGTTCATTCTTTCCTGACATCGAAAAATTTTAAGTGACTCTACAACTGTATAAAATAGAACGCTATCCGCATTATAAATCGATAGCTGTCCTAAAGGATATTATGAAAGATAGTTTGCTTTACAGTTTGAGTAAAGAATAGCATTTTTAACTGTGCAGTATCCTATATTTTATAAGTTTGTCACCAATGTATGCTGAATAGTTACTTAGTTCTGGCAAAACACTGGAAGAAACCTTCTTGCGAAATGGTGGCGAAACTTTTAATTTCATTGTTGCAAAAGCTCAGAAAATACCTAACTTGCCTCTGCTGATGTTTGCCCACCGAAAGGAACTAAAATAATTATTTGAATGTTCGTTTACTTAAAGAAATATAATTCAGTTAGAGGTATCATATAAAGTCAGTTACCATTATATATTTTCATATAAGAAATTTTCTTTTAAAGAAAAATAAAAGTTTAATTAAAATGAGGCTCATACATAGGCTGCTTTTTCATTTATCATAAAATAAGATCATTAAAATTTCGGATATTCTTTGTTTCCTATCTTCTATATCTTGTTAAATTTCAAGGTCTATTTAAATGCGATGAATGAAATGGTTTTTATGTTGTACCCAAAAATTTAGAAGAGAACCACTGCTTCTTTTTTAAATGCAAAAAAGAGGAATTACCAAAATTCGGCATCACCTGTGGTTGATCAGATGACATAACTGTAGGGAAAACTTGTTTACGATGATTTAAAGCATGCATAATATTTTCAGTCCGAAAACCAATTTGTTATTGCAAAGGAAAGCCTTTATTATATGTAACTTATCTATGCTCAGAACCAACGTCATTGTGCAAAGTTCTTGAAAATTGCTCATTCCTAGCCTGAAATTGAAGATGACCCTTCAGGCTCAATTTAACACCTTATTTCATCTCTCAGTTCTTCTATTCGTTTAAATGTATTTTAGGGCTGATAAATAAAGTCTCATAAGAGTAAGCATTGGAGAAAATATGAATAAAGAGTACTAGATCTCTGAAGGCACTAAAACGTTTTGAAGAGCCTGAATACAGAACTTGAAACTAAACTCAAATAGTGATAACAATTGTTGGAGTATTGATGCTTCCATACCATACTGAACATTTTGGCATGTCACTGTTGACGGCGACGCGTTATATAGCTTAGCTGCGACTGCTAGTCAAAGTTTGCTACGACTAGCCTTGAGGATCATTGGCCTACAAAGGACATTGACTGCTATTTACTTTAAGCACTAAATACATTACTAAAATGCTCAATCATCAGAACCTTTTTTCGTCGGTATACGAACCAGAGCTTAATTTCTAAATTGCTGGATCTTCTATGGAAGGCTTCAGGAGCTGTAAATAAAACTAAAAATAAATAAATAATAAATAAATATAAATACATAAATAAATAAATAAAAATAAATAAATAAATAATATATATTCAAAGTAATATTTTAAGTGGTTAGTAAAATATTAGTACATTAAACTAATAATAAAAGCTAAATAATTGTATATGCCAGAAAATTAATGAAATAACTAAAGGTGAATAAATTGACAAGACTTCAACACATAACGACAACAAGACTTCAAGTCATAACGACAACAAGACTTCAAGACATGACGACAACAAGCCATGATACCAAAGAATAGAAAATATGTATTCTGAATACATTATTTTTCATAATTAGACAAAATTGCTTATCGATTTCTATTACATGAAAGCCATCTTCAACAGAGGGACACCTCATGAATGTTTGACCTTTTAAAGGATCAATCTTGTTTTCGAAATCAGGTGTTTTCCCTCAGTTGTACAATATTATCCTAGTTATTTATTCTGCTCTTCACAAAGAGAGTAAAGAACGCATTCAACAGCTAATATCAATATCTTAATAATAAAGACTTTCTAACTGTTAAAATAAGTACTACACGAAGATCCGTTTTCTGTTAATATTATGCTTCTGTTTCATGAATAACTAATCTCGTTTGGGGTTTCGACTGAAGTTATGTTTTCTTTCAAAGTTTGAGATATATTATAACGAGGCTTTCATAGACTCTGGATGAATTTAAGCGTTATGAACTTCAGAACAGAGGGAAGTCCCTGTTTTGGAATTTAATTCATTCAGCTACTGGTGGTCAGTAAAATATTTTATATCTTCTTTCAAATCAAACGCGGTATTCCTTTAATTTTTCGTATGTACTGTTTCCAAGTATTTTGTGGCTGTTTTCTTTTGAAATCTTCGCTTCAACTTTGTGTAATAATTTATGCACATTTATTTTTTAATTGCTATATGTTAATGTATATTTATTTGTTATATGTTGCTGTATTTTTATTTGTTATATGTTATTGTACGTATGTATGTATTATTTATGTGTTTTGTCTTATTGTAACTTTGTAGGGTTTTCCTTATTTTGCATAACAAATTTATTTTAAGTTTGATATTTGTTCTAGGCTTCTCAACTTCCCCTCACATTCTCTCGCCAGGATGTAAATTTAAAGTTAAGTGAAGTGCTATTTAAATATGTGAATATCTCAGTTTATTCAGCGCGTGTTTCGCTAGCCAAGCGCACGTTTGTTGTTATTTCGCGGTCACGCTGGTAAGCCTCTTGGTCTTATCAGATTAGTATTACGCCGGTTAGATCCCTGTGAGTCCACCTCTTAGGCGTAACATAAGTGCGCGATCTTGCACTATTTATTTCAGGTTTGACTTGTATTATATTCTACGTTTTAGTTTCCACCGCAAGTTGACGGTCGGTGTCTTTGTAACGCACGAAGTCCGTGCCTTTCTGTTAACTAGTTTGAATTAATAAAGAGTTATTTTTACCCTTCATCTGAGCCAGTAGTTTTTATTCACGCCTGTGCAAGAATTCGCCAGGTCATTATAGGGTCTATTCTAGTTTATGTGAAACAAGAGAGACAGACTCTATAACTTCGTGTATACTTCTTGACTTTTTATTGTTTTTCATGTGTTTAATTGATTTATCATTTAGTATTATTTGTAATTTTATTGATAACTTATTTATTAATCAGTAGCTAATAATTATTCATTTATTATCTAGTATCATTATGCCACCGTGGCCATCATCACCGTGGCCACCTATCATTATGCCACAGTGGTTATTAACCAAAATTGGCAAACTTAGTAAGCAAGTTTTAACATGCAACTTCTAAATATCTCAAGATTTATGTGTTGGCCGCTTTCATGGGGAAGGACAAAATGTTCATCATTACTAAATGAATTATAACTGTATTACCATCTATATGAAGAAATCAAACTTATGTCATTCTGAGCATATGCTGTGGTGCCTCGCTTAACGAAGTTGGTGCCTTGCACAGTCTATTCTAAGATGGACATTCATTATGTCAATTGTTCATTATGAGGTATTCTGTTTCACATAGAGTACTATGTGTACTCTATGTAGTACTATCACATAGAGTACTATGTGAAATGACTACAGGATCGTAAATCCAGCAAAACAGTTCCTAAGAATATTACAAATAATGCTGGAAATGTTAGGTATTTACTAATTTGTTAGTTATAATAATTATTCATATGTGCTTTAGTTTGTCCTCAGTCCCATAATCTTCCACTGGATGTGGAAAAGTAAATTTTTCTTCACTCTCTTGTGAGTCTGCGTTTGATTTTTGGAAGGCCCAAGCTTCTAAAAGTTGTCCAAAGGGGTCATATCTTTTTTTTTTTTTTTTTTTTTTTTTTTTAAATCGGTGGCATGGAATTAATGCACAGCTTTGTCAGAGTACTTCCATCACTCTTCAGATCGATTCAGATGCAACTGCTTGCATGATTGTGAACTCGATCTCTTTTTCCTTCTTCAGGAAGTCCTTGCTGATTACAGCGGTTTTAGATTCTTTATGTGTCTTCTTCTTTTCATCAGAAGAAATGGAACTCTGAGATTTCTCAAATTCTTATTCGACGATTCTTGCAGTTCCTTCAGTGGCTTTTCTTTCTCCCCCACCCTCTTTGTCTTCGACAGAACAGCTGGTCCGCTGGATTAGGTGCTCATCAGCTTGTTGGACTCTCGTCGATGGATTAAAAAAAAACCTAAAGCTTAGTGCAAGTCTCTTGCTTACTATGGAGGAACTAACCGTGACCGCTGCACGGTATTAGGAGCTCCTCGTTGAACGATTTATAACCGCGGTAATATTTGTCGTGTGTCTACAAAGTTAGTAACATCGTAAAGGTCTCAACAAGCTACAAATTTTGATGCTTGATTTGTGTTCCTACGTCTTATAATTCCAGAGTTATTGAAATTTTTAAATTCTCATCCATTGTCAACGCATGAGCCTATGTTTTTGAATGAAGAACCGGAAAGAAGAAAATGAAGTGCTGCTTTATGCTCCGTCGTTGTTAAGTGATTACTCGCGACCAAATTGCCTTCTGTTCTCAATACAGATATCTGGAGAAAGCTGGCGCATTCCGCTTTCTAACGGTGCAAGAATTGTGTTTGTGGTGTGTGTTTAAGCAGAGTTATAATTATTTTAATTAGAGTCCATAAAGTGTCATTTTTGCGGATTTCGTCTAGGATATCTTGGCTTCTATTTGGAATATCATCATCATTTATCCT